GTGAATCTCCAAATAGACAATGTTGATGGCTCAAACCAAAATAATGTTATTGGAACTTCAAGAAAATTACGATGTGAAATCAGAAATGACAATAGTGATAATGACACCGAAGAAAATATCCCCGAATGCTGGCTGATCAGTTTGGCTGCCAATTCAATTATGCTGTCTCAAATATTCAACACATGTGTGGGGAAGGTAAGAATTTGCCCTTTGTGTTTTATATCTTATCCTTCAAAACTGGTTTAATATAACATATGGTTTAAATTGTAGTCCTGCAAACCTCTTTTATATGTATTCAGCAACAAGGTTGTATATATTTGTTGTGTAACATGTAAACAGTCGCAATATACTGTACATATATGTGTCAATTGTTTTAAAAATGTTAAGGAACATTTCTTTAGGAAATTTAACTTTGGAAGAAGATGAAAGTGGACGTGTTGGTCATTTCTCTTAGTCAAACAGAGTTGCTTCAAAGGTGTGTTCTTGGCACAACTGAAAACCAAAATGGCAGTTTGAATGCTCTAGCTTGGGGCTAGGTATCCAAAGCATAAACAACATGGCCGCAAAGCAGTGCGATGTCCTGTAGCTGCCGCTATTCCCCCACTTCCATATTGGAGCAAAGAGTCGACTTGGTGTTATGAAGCGGCTGTCCATTCACGCTGGGGGTAAAACAAAACAAGCTTGTGATGCAAGATCGATGTGCAGCAAATGAAGAAATCTGATTTACAGGCAACTGAAAAAGAGAAGAAACGACGCCAAGGAGAGAAACTGATTTGAACGCAACAGGAACAAGCTATTCGGGAAGCTGAAGGAGTGACATATAAAGAGGCTAGAGGATTTTAAACTGTAACAAAACGTTTTAAAACACCAAGTAAATGGTAGGATTTAAATTATCCAGGCTTAAGATTTTCAAAATGTATGAAAAATCAAGTGTTTTCGATACAAGAGACTTGAAACTCATTTTTCTCATTTTCGGATATTTTAGACTTTGAGAAAAGGTATCTCGAGAACAATTTATTGGATTGTACTGAAATTATCAGAGAATGCCCCTCTCACTTAGCTTTGTGTTTTAAGCATAGAGATTTTTTTGACTGAGTAAAAATATCAAAAGTTACTACAATTTTACCTTTTAAAAATTTGACGCCTGACTTCCCAAACCCATAACTTTTTTTCTTTTTGTCAATCAAAATTCTCTATGCTTAAAACAATAATCCCTATGTAAGTATTTAAAAAATGTATAAATAATCAAATTTCATAATACACAGGTAGAGCAATCTTTTCTTGAATAAAGCTAAACCGGAAATTTGATGAACGGTGTAGAGCCACCTTAATACAGCGTTTCACTGTTTGAAATATTTTTTTCTGAATCTCCAGGTTGTAAGCTTTCTACTAATACATAGTTTGTGGGGGTTTGGATGTAACCTTGTCCAAATATAAAACATTTTATATCGCCCTATTTTTCAGGTGTACTCCCCCCTTAAATGGTCGGCCCCTAAAAACAAAGCAGTGACAACAGTGAAGTAATGACCATGTATACAGATAGATAGATGAGTTCTGTTAAACAGTTTACTTGTACTATTTACAACATGAGCGGCCGTGTTGTATCGGATATACAAGGTACAACGCTTAAAAATATATACAACGCTTAAAAAACGACTCATCTTATGAGTTCATTGGCGAAGTAATTTTAAAAATAAACGTTGTCTAAGCCGAGAAAATCAAGTTAAAGTTTATGTAAATCAACATGAATCTGTATCACATATACAGATACGACACGCTTATGATTTTTCTTTGTGTTTTCTTCATGAATTATTAATGAGTTTTTAAGTACTATTACAGTAATTAACTAATGAGTAAAATCATCTGGCACTAGATAGAATTAAAATTCACCATTTCCAAAACAATAAAGTTCATGACCAATTTCTTCATTTCTCATGTGTTAACTTATGGTATAATTCACCGATCTCTATCAGAAATTCCCATTTGAAAGGTGTTGCCACGACTGTATTCATGATTCATCTCAGTCGCACTCAGAAACGTTCCCGAACATGTGCTTTTGCTTAAAATACCATATTTGACTTGATTTGTTCCTCTATTGCGAGATAACAGAAGAGAACAGTTGAAAATACCGTATTAATCACAACAGCTCACTCCTCAATGAGGTGGTCACAGTAAGATGGCGGCCGCGCGCGACTTCCGGCTTCAATTTCTATATATATAGTTGCGCTCTCCATGTATTATATAGCTCAGTGGAGTCAACACGTTGTGTCGATCATTACTGATCTAGCTTATAGCTACTGTTGGTACTGCGCTTAGCTATGCAGCTAACTCGAACAATTTTGCGCTTCCCTTGGGAGTTCAAGTTTGCGGGGTTCTACTTTTACTGCAGTGTGGCTGTTTTTTGATGTAGTGAAGGTTTACATGAAAATGTGGAGTAAACGAATGTTGAGTAAATTCATGTATTTTGCGCAAATTACCAAAACAAGACATTTTGATTTTCAAATTAACTTGCACTTACTGCATTTTTTCCCCTTAGGCAGTCGGCAGAAAAAGTTTGGTGTGAGTGTAATTGAATCTGGCAAGAAGTTCACCATGCAGTTGTAAAACATGTTTCCGAAGCGGTAATTGTTCATAAAGAGCCGCTTATTTTGAGTGTGAATTTTATACGTTTATTAGACCTAAATATAATATATAGAGGATATTTCACGGTGGCGCGGAAATATGACTTTTATTTTCGAGTAGTGAAGACAATATTTTACGAACGAGCGCAGCAAGTGAGTAAAATATTGTTTTCAACACGGGAAAATAAAAGTCATATTTCCAAAGCCACCGTGAAATGTTCTTTTTATTATATGGCCAAAATAAATTTCATCAAGATGTTTTGTAGCTCACCGTACGGCAACAATGTTATGTCTCTCCGCTCGTTTATCGAGGCTAAATAGTCGCTGAAGATCGCCAAATCGGACTTAGTCTTCCTTTTTGTGTTTTCATTTTCTTCAGAAAACCTTGCCAAATCAGCGTCGGAAACATCAACAAAATGTCGAGAAGTTGCCATATTAGTGAGCTTAAGCAACTGACGTTTTTGACAACACGGACGTTGACCGGAAGTAAAGTTGACGTTTTTCACCAATCACAGCCCTTGACCCAGTCTTCTGACGTTACTCATGCCGTATATCATGTGTATATTCAAGACAGAAACGGCAAAATGGCGGGAATTAGCGTGGGTCCCGCGCGAGACGTTCCCGCGTAAGATATGATTTCATATTTCACTATAGTGAAATACGGGAAATATCAGTGGCGTATTTTACGGTATTTTACTCATATCTATATAATAAATACATATACTAAGATGATACCAATATAAGGTGTATGGGTAACCCTTCTACAGTGAGTTATATCACTTGTAGTTGCCTGCGATAAAGCAATGAAAAAGTATTTTGAACCATATCCGCGTTTTATCCTTTTGGATAAAACGCGGATATGAGTTATAAAGGGCTGAAAATGTATTTTGGACCATATCCGCGTTTTACCTTTTGGATAAAACGCGGATATGACTGTTAATAAATGACATTTTGCGAGAATATAAGCCGTCCGTCCGTAAATAAACATTGACATCTCTAATGACGTCAGCAATTGACATGCAATGCGTACAATGGCGTGAGGATCATCGAGTCATATACTGATAAGTTCCAGGAGATACCAATGGTCACGTGGATTTGTCTTCACATATAGCACAATATTTTGTTTTCGCGATTCTTGTGTAAGGAATTTTGTTCGGATTAATGTATCGAGCCATGCACCTTAAACAAAGTTTTCACCACATTTCATTACGCTACACTTTCGTACTTTGCTAGTTTTCCTGTTTTCGTGCGGTTTTTTGTGCAAATTTGAAGGAAATACAATGCCATGCCTCTAGTATCATGCAGCCACCGGTGAGAGATTTAGTCTTTAGCGTCATGCAATATCGAATAAAATTGTTCCAATCAAATTACCTCGGTCAATGCCTTACATTTTGCAGATATAAATAAAGTGACCTAAAACCTCTGCGGGGGAGAGTACTAGTGGGTTCCAATTAAAGCCAAACTACAACTAATCTTCAACATTTAAAAATGTGGTGTATTAAAAGTTTGCTTTTGCTCATTTAACCTGAAACACAGGCGTGGCAGAGCCTTCTTTTAAATTTTTTTCTTTAAAAAAACTTGTTTGCCGACCAACAAATAACACCCTCTTCCTCCGCCTAGACCTAGGGTTAGAACCTTTACTCGGCTTGGTTGATCCATTTTGGGCCTCTAGTATAAGTTCCTAGGTTCCCTATCATGCCTGTGTTTTACAACATTACAGACCGTCGTTACAGACCGTCGACTCGTTTCAGACCGTTCAACTTACACAGTTTCATCGTGTACATGCGATTTTAAGTCTAATGTCACACCGATACTGTCTTCGCATATTGTCTTCGCATGACCACCTCTCTGAAATTCATCTTGTATCCACTGTTGTGTTGATCAAACATTGATAAACATCTGTACCAGCTCTGTATATTTGTTTCTACCCATTGTATGCAGTACCAAGGATTGACTACGTTATTAATCCTACAAGCTCGTACCTATTTCTCTTGTTTAACTGTAGTCGCTGTGTGCTCTATGAACAGTTTTTCGTCCCCGAACAGACCTAATTTGTGGTCTGCATAATCCATTGTTTCTAATAAGATTGACATTATAATTTTTATATGTTCAGAATTTGTTGTTTGATATTAATTTAAGATGTGTTTTTTCTTATTGTCAGATGTTACAAGACCCACGCATGGTATCCCGATTGTCCGAAGGGTGCTAAATACATTGTTATTTACCGTGAACCATGTGCTGCTTTCAACAGCTTCTTTAACTTCTTTCAGGGTTGGATGTTCCAACCTGGAGAAGTTTCTCTTCATGAATTTGTAAAGGATTTTTTACTCGCTCGTGGAGTACCACAAAACAAGATGGAAAATGCATCCTATTTCGTCCACTTGATTAGCTGGTGGGAACACAGGAATGATTCGAATGTTTTGTTTCTGTTCTTTGAGGATATGAAAAATGATTTGGAAAGTGTAGTTAGGAAGACTGCAGCATTCATAGGAATTCAGGATGAAGTAAAGATTAAGAAGGCTGTGGAAATGAGCTCTTTTGAATTTATGAAGGGAAACCAAAAGAAATTTTCAGAGATGCGCAGCGCACGTTATCGGAATGTAGCTTGCGGGGTACCCCTTGATGTTGTGCCCAATAAAGTTGTCACAGGATCTGCAACAAAAGGACGAGAGTTAATGGATGATAAAACGAAAGAAATAATTCAAGGAAAGTGGCTGGAAGTTGTTGCTAAACAAACTGGATTTCAAGATTATAATGAGTTGAGAAGTGCATTCAAAAAGAATAATTAAGAAATATTTCAAATTGTTTTTAGTATGTCGGAAACTATACAGACTAGGGGGTGATGATGACGTAAGGGACATATCACGTGCCTTAGTGATTGGGATTATTAATAACCTTGTACTTGTTGGTGTAGGGTGTAAAAACTATGACTTTGTGACTTTGTGAAAGTGTGGACTTCTACAAGGTACTCCCTACAAGTACACAGCAAGTATTAGTAAATGAAAATTATAGTAGCAGTTTTAAATCCTTTATATTCGCATGCTGCCATTGTAAAGATATGCCCTTTGGCCGATTAGTATAGCCATGTGTCCTTTGGCCGATTAGTATTATAGGCATGTGTTAATATCGGATCGTTTATGAGCAGTTGTCGGACCCTAAAAGTAAAAGTCTTTGTCCTTCAACCTCTCCACCCAGGGTACGCCATAGGCTCCTATTGGAACAAATTTCAGAAATTACAGAAATTCATAGGATATGTGACAACAAGAGGTTGATTATTATATAATGAAAATGGAACGCGTTTGTGTTTCGAACCAGTTGTGCAGTGTAATTCATTGAACAATGCCGCGGCGGAATGGGGGCTATAGCACCCCTTCCCCCCCCCCCCCGGGAAAGTGTAAAGTTCCAAATTTTCACGTTTATATACAGCTAATTCAATTGAGGTTTTCCTGAGAAAACGGCAGAACCTGGACCTCTAAACGCGAACAGCATTATTTTTATGAGATTGTTTATGCATATATGTTGGCACATTTATGCTAATCATTCCCAAAGGAGTCAAGCACATCAGACAAACAACTTTCTTTAACATTAAAAACGTTTAAAAATCCAATGAATTCTGCCAAGTTTGTTGTGACTATCGCGTGAGCGATAGTCATATGTCATCGCGTCGTTTGATTGCTTGCTTGCTTGCTCGCTTGCATGCTTATTGTTTTGGACCTTACTGCGTCATACTCGGAAGCACGTCACAATTGGTAAACACGTCACATTTGGCAGTTGTCGTCATATATCCTGAATATTGTAATTTTTTAGCAGACTCCGTGTTGTCTGGTAATGTTTTCAAAACAGTTGAATATATTTGCCGAGTATTCTGTTTAGGGCAGTGAGGGCACTGAGACTTTATAAGAGCCTGGCGGGTTGATTGTCTGGTTTTAAAACATATTTGTACAATTGTACTATTCAACAAATTGTAAGTGATACGGTAAATCATCCTCGTTTGTCTGTTAGACACAGAGTATTTCTATTCTTTCGTTATAATAACGATCGTAGTCGTTAGCTAAGCTATTGATATCAAAATATACTGGCCGCAGCTTAAACTTTGAAAGTAATATTCCGAAACATTAGTTCTATAAAGTTGTCTTAATTAAAGCTAATTTCATATAATTTCCGATGCGAAGAAAATCTATTCTTAACAAGCATTATATCTCATTTGTGTCGGTTTTATTTGATCGTCCGAGGTTTATAACTAGCTAATATACCTTGAATAAATAATTACATCAAACTTTTCGACAAAACGCGAGAGTTTTTCATCAAAAATTTTTGAAAATGACAAAATATGTTAGAAAACCTCCGCAAATGAGATATAAGTTAGTTATAAACCTCGAAAGTCGGTTTATAACTCTAACTTATCCCAGCTGTTTATACAGCCCGACTAGCGTAGAGCGGTTCATATAACTGAAACTGAGTGAGATCATTAAAACAGAAAATAGCTCAAACATGTTTTGTTCTTCGGAGTTTTATGTCAGGAATTTATATTAATATCGGTAATACTTTGCACCATTGTCAGTGGGTAATTTTCGAGTAAAATGCTTTATTGTTTGGATCATTATTCTCTCCATTGCACATCGATAATGCATAGACATAGTGATATTGCGCCTGTGCTAACCATCATTTTTAACAGCTCAATCAAACTGGGCATTGTTCCTGACAGTAATTGGAAACTAGCAAATCTTTTACCTGTCCCCAAAGAATCTCCTCTGACAGAATCAAACCAATTATGACCCATTTCGTTGACTAATATAATTGTTCGCCTTTTTGAAAGAGCAATCTATACAACTGAATTAGTCCAGGTGATGAAAACGCCATCCATAATGGCCCTAATAAAAGCGCAACATACCTGGATGGAATGGTTGGATGGTAATGCTACACAGCAAAAAATCACTTTCTTATTTTAAGAAAAAAAAAACTTATTTTAAGAAAATTTTCTTAAAATAAGTCCAAATTTTCTTGGGAGACTGGTAAGAAAATTTTCTTACTAATTTTCTTA